TACAGTAAACTTGACGCATATGTGAATACAATCGATCACACAAATGTCCGTATTTTTTGTGGTTTTTCAGCAACCCTCAAGTTATTGGATCTGCTTTCGTGCCCCAGCAGAGCCCTACGAAACCTGATTTCAGGTTTTCTCATGCACGGAGAACCAGCTTCACAAGCTCGAGATGTCACCAGTTTCATTTGCGAACCGGGAGGAGGATCACTACAAATCCACGGTGCACGTGGCCCCGGAGCCACTTTGGGTGGTCCGGCAATCTGGGAGGCATGCTTACATCAAGTGCTCGTGAGACTAAGCCTTCCAGACCCAGCTATACGCAATTGTTTAGTCGCACTACTTACTCGATTGATTCTGACAGGTCGTGAAACCGAGTCGACCCAGATTACCAACCGCACCACTCATTGGCGTTCTTCATCTTTGCGTTTCGCTGCACACTTGGTTTTTCCTTCAGTGGTGGCTGCAATGGATTCTATGGACAGACCAATCAAAGTAATTTCGCCATTGACAAAAAGTAAGCTAACATCCAATATTGTTTGTATGTTTATAACATCCCATATGTATCTATTTATCACATGTCTAAGGCCAGGTTTTGTGCCAAACATTACGGTACAATAATCCTTATAAGAAGAAAACAAAACTTCCTTGATTTGCATGTGGGTTGGAACCTTCGCAGATCAAGGTGAATTTCATTGGAAAATTCGGAACAAAAACCTTCGGCTAGCCAAAACGGTGCATTTTGGAAGCCGCATTCCGTTCGGACCCGGTGTCCAGTTTATCAGATTATAATCCTTTTGGACGAGGTCGAATTTCCAGTATACCGAATACATCTCGATACTCAATCCAGCCAGTGACCACTGCCACGACCAGGAAGGTGTGGCTGTGCGCTTCGTACGCCTTCTCGGTTGGTTTGAAATCAGGGTTTTTAGCCAACTCTCCTAGCTGAACTACCAGTGGTTCAACTACCCGGTTATAGCCCCGAATTTTTGCTTTTCCTCCCATCACTTTGGTGGGAAAACACCTCCACCTCGAGAATACAATAAGTAGAGCTTCGTCAATAAAGGCTATTTGAGGCGATTCGTTATGTAGAAGAATTTCGTGAGATGCAAGGTAAGGGTGACCAGCGATAACTCGAGACGTGGACCATTGACCATACTGAGGCTTTCGGAGTCACATAACTGTCCTTAATCAGATGAAAGACTTGCGTTCGTTGACCTCAGTTTAATGTCATACAAATGTCACTATATTCCCTTTGCAGTGGAGAGATTGAACCCTATGGTCGCCAACGTATTGCAGCTATTACCTTTTCATAAAAAATGCCCGGTATGCGACCATACACACCACCGTGTGTGATTGCAGTTTCGTATATCAGGTGCATTGATGATACAATAAAACCAAATATCTTACTTGATCAATATCCCACTGTAAAGGCCAGTCGTCCTGTATCACAGTGAATACTTACTATTGTTATCACAAAATAAAAGACAGTAATGATTGAATGATGTTCATTCATCTATCATTTTCTTGTTTCATTCTGTTTCATCGTTGTTCCTACAGAAACTGCTGGAGCCAATCTGGAACCATGTCACCAGGATGCTTATAACAGAGGCTCTGGATCCGGTTTCGTGCAAATAGTGTCCGCATTACAGGCCGCTGGATTTGGTAGCCTTGTGAGACAAGTGGAGACTTTTGTTTTGGAGCTACAGCGTCTCACACTACTCTGGGAAGAGCTGTGGCTAGGCTGTTTACTTCAGCACTTGGATGAGTTAGCAAAAAAGGTTAGTAGGCTGTTACCTTCTTTCGTTACCCCCAGAAAGATTTTTGAGAAAAACCTTTCGTCTTTCACCACTGCTGGTTTTCTCTTAGAAGGTTTTAAACTATCTGCGTAATGTCAAAACTGTTCAATAATCACTGTTTGTTCTAACAGCGCTGATGTTAAAACATTTACTTATCGTGTCACTTCTCATGTTTTGTCTTGTCTTGACTGTCCTTTTCAAGGTTACCTTGCTGGAAACAGAAACCAAACGTTCCATGCAATGGAGTAATTTCGATCATCACTCATCCACCGAGAACACTTTGGCAGATAAAGAAAACCGTGTATCCGAATCTCCAATGTCGGAAATCAAACGAATACCGTCTGATAAACAAACGGTCGCTAATTCGAATTCAATTCAGGATGTGTTATGCGTCAAATTCGTTGCTGTTGCTCAACCCACCTTAGACCTTATTTCTCGGCTGTCATCTCTAACACTGGATGTTCAACCGGAAACTCCTCACGAAGAATGGTTCCAGAAGGCTTTTGGCTCGGTAATTTTGCATGTGTTATTCAGTAGTGGTATTTTCCATTTCCAATTTTTGATTCACAACCGGAGACATTCCTGCTTGATAGATGTTTTATTACCCACTAATCAGTAAGCGCATTCGTGCACGCGCTAGGCAAAAAATGAATCCCAATCCGGTGTTGTTCGTTGGCCACTCTTTAGCTACAATATGATTTGCGGAGTGGATTGGGGACACAGCAGAGTATGAAGTTTCTCTCATCTCGTGACGATTCGAAAGATTGCCTCAGTTGGTTCGCCATTTCCTAGTGGATAGTGTGAACGGCTCATTAATAGTTTCTTTTTTTCGATGTGCACGACCACGTTAGGGGGTTCTATACCGCTTTCACTGGTAATTTCATTATGTAGCCTCACACTTCTAAGCATTTTTGCTATCTGTCTGACAGCGATCACTTCGAAATCATTCTGCCGTGACTGCAGTGCCTAGCCTAATACTATAATTACCAAATAACTGTCGCTCGTGAAATTTATAGATCTCTGGATAGCAAACCACAGTCCATCCACATTTGGTATGCATTTTCAGTGATGTTTGATTTATTTGGTAGGCCCTGATTGGTTAGCGTAAAAATGAACTCCAATGTGCACAAGTACATGCACCCTAGCATAATAAACAAAATAACTTGTACCCTAGCCATTTTATAGTCTCTATTCTGTAATTTTTCATGTTACGCATATCAATACTTTTGTTTATGGGCTGCTAGATGATTGTGTAGTGACCTAACTGATTATTTTCGTTCCATCTCTTCTTTTTTCGCAGACTATTCGTCATCTCAGCGAAACTTTATCGCATCCTACAGAATTGATGGATGGAAAGCATCTGCTCAACTCAGTTCGACAGCTGGTGTATCAACTTCAAACCGTTCATCAATCCGCTTCGAATGCACCGGTCAACCGAATATTGTACGCCAACGCTGAATCGCATGTGCCTGTGCATACGGTCAGACCGTCCACAAGCAGTGTGTTCCATCCCAGCCTTTCTCATCTCA